TTGGGCAGCAACTTTGTGCCAAAAATCTGATATTGCTGGTTTGTTTTTTTGTTTTTGTTTTTGTTTTTTTTTTAAATATTCCAACAACTATATTTGTAACATGTGTGGCAATCTCAAATTTACTAATAAAAATAGGTTTTCCACCTCTTCTGAAAGTTAGAATGGCAAAATTGTGGCTTTTGTTAATACTGACTACTGATTGGACAGTAGCTAATATTGAGGTTTTCTAACGGTAACTCTGCCCAAGTCAGTTTTTTCTACACACGAAAAAAACACATAAGAGAAGAAGGCAATCAGCCCCGAGGCTCCTCTTTCGATGAGTATTTCCTTCAGTCCAAGCACACCGTTACACATATCTCTACATATACTACTGAAAAGTTAGTCGTGCACTTTGATCCATGACAAGATATTTGCTCAGCATCTTTAAGCAGCCAATTAATTATAATAAACTAAACTCATGCATGCATAATAACAATAATTAAAGATAGACAGTAAGACCTCACGACAAGATTATGAGTAAAGTTCCACCAGAGTCCCACTCAAGGACAAACACCCAAAAAAGGTACTGCTAGCTACCATGCATTATAAGCAATATTACCAATTAGGAAATGCAAAAAACGATACTGATTGGACGAAAATGGCTTAAGGAAGAAGCAAGGGAATCACTTTCAGATAGCGCAACATGATTGGGCGGCCAGAAACCCTCCTGATCTCACAAGCTCATACAAAAGAGAAAAAGAAAGAATCTCAGCATATATTATAAATTAATAACAAAGAATAATGTATGTGGAAACAATAAGAAGCCGTCACCATCTGGATGTTTGGACCCCTTTTGCATACGTAGCAGCATTAATAAATAGCATTAGCAAAAGAAAAACAAGACCTCTCTCTCTCTCTCTGTCTCTCTCTCTCTCGTTCTGTGTATACGTATATGGACGGAGAAGAGACCGATACGTCCACCACTCATATATACTAAAAAGGCTGTGATGTTGATGAGTACAATTAAAGCATATATGGTATAGAAGGAGCTAGAATTATAAAGCTAAAAGGACCAAATGAAAAGTATAAGTATATATAAGTATTCAAAAATTACATATTAGATCTAAATATTTCTAATTTATTTTAAAGTCGAAAAACTAGAAGAGGAGGCAGGGGCGCCCGTCGCCAAGGCCACTCCTAGTCTAGGAGTGGCTCCTTCATAGACTTACATTAGAATTATTGCAAATTATGACGTGGAAATTAAAAGGAATTTTCATATATCAAGACAGAGAGAGGGCGAGAGGGCGAGAGAGAGGACCATAGAAAAATGAAGTATTATGCTTTGCCACAAACCGAGGAAGACAAAGAGGAACCATGGATGCGCTTTGTCTGCCTATAAAGCAATGCCACTCAAACCTACAACGCTTATCTGTGGACTCTATCTAGCCTTTGGTTTTTGGAATGGTTTGTGGGAATGGTCAACTTGCCTCACTCGAACATAATAATTATTTCTTGATTGCTAATAAGGAAATAGGTAGAAAGTTATTGGTAATAGAATTAGGTCCTGCCTTGCTTGTGTCTGTATATGTGTGTGGGGGTTCCTTTCCGTCAAAAGAAAGTTTATTGTTGAATATATATATATATATATATGTATATATATCAGTCCTTATTTCTTAAACTACAAAGGTTCAAGAGATTATGGTCACCCACCGTTGGATGTTAATCTAACGGTTCAAAAAAGTTTCTTAAAAACAGTGCAAGAGTGAGTGAACTGTTGAATTTACATTCAACGGTGAGTGACCACAAATCTCTTAGACCCTTGTAGTCCAAGAGATCGGGACTGATATATATATATATATATATATATATATTCTTCTATTTGGATGTCCAGACGTTATTATCGTGCGGACGCTATGTATTTTCTATTACCCTTCTATGCTTTCCTCCCTTTTTACAATGACATCAATACGATAATAACGTGCGAATATCTGAATGAGAAAACAACTATAAATATATATAGCTTCGATTGATGGATTTCTTAAATAACCTTATTTAAAAGACACCAAGACACAATCCGCATTGTATTTCACTAATCTAAATCGTCTATTTTGTAGATATTTATTCAAATATCATCCCCATAACAATCACTTAGATCCGATATTATTTGACCACTCTATCTACAATACTTATCCTTACATTACATCGATATTTAGGTCCATTTCTTTTCAAGAACTTGAGTGGAATTTAGGTTGGTACGCTGTCTACCAACCAATTTCTCCCATTCCAAGGGGTGTGATGGAAAGTATATGTAGCATAGCTCCTTTTAAATTAATTTTAAAGGCACCGAAATTGAAACCGAGTGGCAAATATTTTGAGAGTAAAATATAATTCAAAGGTCAAGTGAAGAAGTTATTTTAGTGCATTATGTTTATGTTGTATTTTTAGTTATGCTTTGTTGTTTTTTTCATGCTTTGGTTGTGGTTTGTTTATTTTTTATGCTTTGGTTGTGGTTTGTTTATTTTTTATGCTTTGGTTGTGGTTTGTTTATTTTTTATGCTTTGGTTGTGGTTTGTTTTTTTTTTATGG